GCATCGCCCATTCGGAACCTTAACTTTCCTTCTAAAAGAAACGTTCCTGCGTTTTTATCGAGGGCAGGGAGTTGAACGTTGGCATGAAATCCTCAATGCAAGTGATGAGATGGGATATCTAATCTTGTCACGGATCCTTGGAAGGGATTTAAGGTGTGAGAGGGCGTTGCCAAAACATGCAGTTTGGGTTCTTAAGTAGGTAAATGAGCTGTAAATCTCGTGAATAAAAATAATCGCGGGTATAATCTCCCGAGCTATTCTCAATTTTGGATGAATTTGGGTTACACCTTCATTTTTTTCCTACCCCAAATTAAATCCAAGATAAAAAAAAACATTTTACAGCACAACTAGAACCTCGTTTTGCTTTTTTCTCTTTATTACAAAAGATTATTCTTTTTTTTTTTCTTTGTCAAGAAAGAATCGTTGTTGTAGATGAGAAACTTTTTCGTTCAAAAAGCATGTCAAGTCTGTATCGTTTACCGTAAAAGTAACTATCACTGTTTTAATACATAAAAAAATGCAGTAAATTTTGCCTTGCTTTAAAAATGCATCATCAAAGAATGATGATGAATATTATCACATGACGAGGTAGGTAATTATGTACAAAGAATAAAAAGGTAATTTTTAATTAAACCTGTAATTCCTTTTCACACTGTTTCATTGTCAAACACATGACCTCAATTCACATAGTTCCCTTCCACTAAATTGGCTGAAAAGCTCAATACTTTGTTGGTTTTTTTTTTTTTTTTTTTTTTTTTTTTTTCAATTATGAGTAGCCGGAAGCAAATGATTTTGCAATTTTGTAACACAGTTTCCATGCTTATTTTCAAACATACTCTACGAAAAAGATTTTAAAATTTTGCAATCGTACTTTTTCATCATGGCATAGCTCAGCATGAAAATAACAGTTCGCTACTTAAACAAAAGATTAAAAATACGATTGTACACATTTTTAATATGATAAAAACACAGCAAATCTGAATGACAGGAATGCCCTATTTCATTTCATATAGCGCTTTATTAATGAAATTCCAGCGTCGAAGTACACCGTAATAGAATGACAAAATGGGTAAATGATTGATTAGAAAGTCTTTCAACAATGCTTTAAATATTCACTTATCGAATAAATCTGGTCTCAAATCATTTACCTACGCAGTTGGAAAATGGAAACAAAACTAATTCGGCCACCCTTCCGCACGAAGATATTTTCGTCCCCTAGGCGCTATAACCGGGGGCGCAAGGATAAAATCAAGATTTGCCAAGGTTGATGATGTCACAATTCTATCGTGGCGCAGAAGAACCACCACAATTCCGTGCCAAGTAAAAACGCCGCAAAGGTATTTGCCATATGCTAAATTTACTCGTCGAAAATATTTATTTTTAGAGAAAGATATGAGCATTTGGACCGCGTTGAACAGAAAGCAACCAAGCCACATCAGCAATTGCCAAATTTAATTGGACGAATTAATTTTTTACATGAAAACGGTTGGGCGGATTTCGTGCAAATAGCAGCGAATTTTCTCCATAGTACGACGCAAATTCCTTGTAATTTTCAAAGGAATCCGCACAAACGTTCTCTCGTAAAAAATTGACTTGCCCAGTTAAATTTGGTCCTTGAAGTTTTCAGACTTTTTAGATTAAATTGCGAACGGAATCCTCTGAAAAATTAAGGGAGAAATATTCAGAAATTGTCCTAAATATTCTTGATTTGTCGAAAGAAATTTGGCAACGCCTTATGGCTTATACAGCGTTCTTACTTAGCGCGGCAGTACAGACGAACCCTACAAACTCGATGTTTTTCCACCGAAACTGGCGATCATGCGAAGCAGGGTCGTCAAAGGCGCGTAGAAGCCACAAGATACGCACGTCAGTGCGTAGAATCTAACGAAGAGAGGTTACACTTGGCATCCAGCGTCTTTCGTTCGGAGAGACGTAGTTTTCGACTTGTTAACGATGCAAACCCCTTTGTCTTACTTTCTTACTTTGCCTTACTTTTGTAATATTTTTGCGCCTCTCCTCTTTGTTCTCTCTGGAAGGTTTTTGCGCCCTCTTCTTTTGTGCTTTCTCAAACTTCTCGTACGCCTCCCGGGCTTCTTTGATGTTTTTTTCCCTCTGCTCCGTAACTTTTTCGGGCCATTAAAAGGAGGGGACGGGTGTTTTATTGGAACCCTGGACGGGAATTATGGGACTTGTCGAACTCCAAAGCGATGTGTAACACAAAAAAAAACTAAGCTATTTTTAATCGTCTAAAAGAGGGTTGAAAGTAAGGATACGTGTTCTTCTAAAGTTTTTGTCCCAAGAATGGTCCATCTGTCTCAGGTTTGCGTCGAAGGATATTTTCGAGTTATTCGTATAAAAAAAACAGTTTGAAAGAATAATTATAAAGTAATAAAAATAATTGATAACTAAATAATAATAAAAACATTAAATAATAATAAGTAATTAGTAATAAAAATAATTAATAATTAATAATTAAAAATCGATAAAAAATAATTAAAAAGTAAGTATTAAAAAGTGGGTAAAATAGTCCAATTCTTAGTTTAATATTACATTTGGAATATGACGAAAAAAATCAACCAACAGCTTGTGATACTTCGTCTTTTACCTCCTATACTAACACAAGATTTTGGTTACTTTCTCTTACTGAGCGTAGGTCAAATCGTAGAAAAACGTGTCAAAACTATTGGGAGGAGACTATACTCTTAAGACTCGCAGAAAATTCCGAATGTAACGAAGAAAATTTGGCCATTGCCCAAAGCGCATATGACGTTTTTCCAAAGCAGGGCAGAATAGGTACAACACTGTAGTTCAAAATAGTACTCAACGAATTCTTCCCGCTTGAACGTATCCATCTATTAGGACAAGGGCTCCAAAAAAGTCTGTAAAAAATCAACCAACAGCTCGTGATACTTGGACGTATTTCTACCAAACGGATCTATGTGCACTAAAACATGAGCCCTCAGACCCACAAGAATATATCTATAACAGGCCTCACCTTATGATGCACATAGTTTTGTTTGGCAGAAATACGTCCACTTTGTGTTTTACTTCCTATACTAACACAACATATTGGTTACTTTTTCTTACTGTGTATGCATTATTTAGACGTATTTCTGCCTAACGAAACCAGAGACAGATGGGAAGTCGGTTAGTCGAGGGCCGAAAGAATGAATGGGAAATATAAAGCGCCAGTGACGTCAGCGGCGACGACCGGGTTGGATGAGCTCAACGATGCCGCACAAACTCATCAGCCCTGTCCACAACTCTCTTGTCACATGCCCATGGCTCATGAGTGCCCTATTCAGTTATGGCACACTGTTCCGTTTATCAGAATGTAAATTCTCGCTTTTCTATACCTCCGAAGGGAATCACGTCCACTTTTACCTTGGTTCCTACGCAGCTTCAACGAGCACACCCCATCTTTCCCACTCGTCTATAGTTCCGTTTTGCAGAAATAATGGACCACCAAACAAGGTGCGAATTTAAGCATTCTGATGCATGTTTCTGAAATAAAATTGTGTGTGCAACACGATTTGCGCAGAAAAAATTACGGAAATTAACTCCTAACAAATATATTTAATGTTTCTTGACGCGTCAATTCAAACCTCCCGATCATGAAAACTCAATAGTCTACATGAGTCAAATCGCACACCAAAAATTACCATGACACTCTCTGCGATATGAAAATCTGACAACCTCAGCCTTGCCGCTTTGGCTTAGTTATAGCAAGTTGTTGATAAATTGAACAGCACAGGGTAGGAAATGAACCGTACTGGATTCAGAGGCCTGCCGAAAATGTTGTAGTCCTCGATTGGACTCACGTACAGTATTGAGTTTCGTGTGATCGGGTAATGAAGATGTTGCATGTGTGAGGAATTTGCGATTTGACTGTTGATTTTTATGCAAAAGTTCGCCAGAAACACGATGGTGCCACTGGTTCTCTCTGAAATCAACTCTCAAGCTCAAAAAAATCTCTCAAGTTGAAGCCAAAATGGAAGGGATATCCCACGCTATCCTGAATGTCCACCTCTACATCAAGATAAACTCTCCATGCAAAGATTGGGAGCAAATACATTAATAGGGCTGACACTTTATTTGGGAACTCCAAAACTGAAAATACGGCAACCCTGTTAATGTATTTGCTCCCTATCTTTGCATGGAGAGTTTATCTTGATGAGAGGGACTTGGTAGAGGTGGACAATCAGGATAGCGGGGGATATCCCTTCAATTTTTGCCTCAACTTGAGAGCTTTTTTTGAGCTTGGGAGTTGATTTCAGAGAAAACCAGTGGCACCATCGTGTTTCTCGCAAACTTTCACATAAAAATCAAATCAACGGTCAAATCGCAAATTCCTTACACATGCAACAGCTCCATTCAAATTCCCCGTTACCAATGTGAAATAAAAACGTTAATATCTTAGATAGGAAATGATTTCGGTAATTTCCAGTGCAAGAATCGTATACCACGTGAAATTCTGTTTCAGAATCATGTATCGGAATCCTTAAATTCGTACCTTGTCTAGTGATCCATCATGTCCATTTTACCACCTTGTTACGTGTAGAGTACCTGTATAGGGAGAGTACCGACATATCGGTTCATGGAGGGCTTAGGGCCCAAAAGTGCAGCCACCCTTCTAACCAACTTCTAACGCACAAAATTTCACTGCCAGTCTGCAGATTCCAATTCTAACCAAGATGGCCAAGAATGTTCAGAAATGAGCGTTCTTCCGCGAAATTGAGTAAATTTATGCAAAAACTGAGTCAAACACGTGCTTAATAAAGGACGGTTCGTAACAATAGTATCAGTAAATCGCTCTGGATAATTGGAATTCATAGGTTGGCTGCCCTTTTGGGCCCTAACTTTATTCGCGGAGGCATCGGTGAAGGCCTGATGGACTTTCGGAGTTTCAGATCTGTCGGTACTCTCCCTATACAGGTACTCTAGTTACGTGCAGCTCCGGCCACATATTTAGTGTTGTTATTCTTGGTTATTGTTCGCAGCCGCTCGGAGTCGACGGCGGGTTCGCTGGACAAGTCCGGGGAGGGTGGGGACGCGGCGTCGGCGGTGAGCGGGACCCGGCACAAGCTGGTGGTGATGGGCGGCGCCAAGGTGGGCAAGTCCTCGCTCATCACGCAGTTCCTCTACGGCGTCTTCTCGTCCAAGTACAAGCGGACCGTCGAGGAGATGCACCGCGCCGACTTCTGCGTCCAGGGCGTCCAGCTCACCCTCGAGATCCTCGACACCTCCGGCTCCTTCGAGTTCCCGGCCATGCGCGACCTCTCCATCTCCAGCTCGGAGGCCTTCGTCCTCGTCTACTCCATCGCCGACGCCGCCTCCTTCGAGGAGGCCCGCGTCCTCCGCGACCAGATCATCGAGATCAAGGGCTCCGCCTCCGTCCCCATCGTCGTCGTCGGCAACAAGCTCGACCTCGCCGACACCTCCAGAGAGGTAAGTTCTCGTCAAACTTTCAAAAGTCGTCTTCGCCGCTAACTTCACCCGATGAAATCCATAGAGAAAAAAAAGGAGGTGTTTGCATATCGGGCATCTTGAAAGTTTTTGATGACTTGATGACGTAGGTGGGTACAGCTGGGTACAGCGACGTCCCCTTCACGCTGTACTCACCTACGTCATCAAGTCATCAAAAAATTCCAAGATGCCCGAAATGCAAACACCTCCTTTTTTTCCTCTATGGATGAAACCGTGCCATCAATAAATCAAGGTCAACCACTGTGATCTGTCCAACACACTAAATTAGCGAATCACAACACCTGACCGTGATATGTTGATAGGCAAGTTTGATCGTGTGACAGTAGCTATAGATCTGTCGAAGGCAATTAGTCAAATCAAGCATTTTGTCAAATGCCTAGGCAAATAGTCAAATTTTGACAGTTTACAGAATTCTGTAAATTTATACAGAGGAGTTCACGGGTTTTCAATATTTTGGGAAGAATAACTCCTCAAAGCCAAAAACTCTCCTTGTTCCTTCCTTTTTACATGCCTTTAGCACATTTAAATGTTAACATATTAAAAATTCTATGTTTTATGACGTGCTAAAAATTTCATGAGCACTGGAAAAAAAACAAATTGGACCTAGAGTCCGGACTCTTAAAAACATCGACAATAAAAAGTACTCTTGATTCAATCAGAATCTAGCTTAAATCAAGAACCAAACCTCTTAATTTTAGCGGATTTCGTTTAGATTCAAGCAAAAATCCAGTATTTTTTCTTGTCAATGTTTTCAAGAGTCTGGACTGTACATCCAATGTGTTTTTTTCCAGTGCAGATGGGATACCGAAGAGCGCCTTCAAATGACTGCCTAATCTTAATGCAAAATGCTGATACCACTATTCGTGCGCCATGACAGTCATTTTGCATAGCAGGCGAATTGAAGGCAAATCATTGACCCAGGCAGCAGGGTACGAATTTCAGAATGCGAAACGTGTTTTTCACGGAACAAAACCTCTGAGAGTGCATCTCTTGGCATCCAAGGAGCCCAACACTTACGTATTACAGCTCTATACTTTTCAATTAATAAAGTCAGCGTAACAGACAGCACATTTTTGGTCATTTATAAAATTGAAAAGTAGAGCGATAAATATATGAAAAGCGTTATAGCACGTAACCCTGTGTAGATTAATGCAAAAAAATTCGAGTGATTACCATTACTACTAGAATTATGACCGAAAAATGTGTTGTCTGTTACAGCGACAAAACTATTCCAGTTATCGTGAAACCACATATATCATGGTTGAAACTACCATAGACCGATAATGAAAAACAAATTTGAAAATAACGTGCAAGCATTTGAAGTCGACCTAAACCGTGGGAGTGAAATATACACAAACGTGTTCGATTCCTTGTTACCTGCCTCATCCTTTCCTATGGAACCGCGAACCTTTATTGCGCTTTTGCGTCCGATTTGCAAGCGGCATTGAAGCACTCCGCATGTGCGAAATTTTTCCGTGGCGGTATATTCCGAAATGTCACAGTTGGGGCTCTGTTCAAATCCTCATTATACCCAGCGGGAGTGTGCACAAGCAAATTCAGCACAGGTGTGTCAAACCGCACCCTAAATGGTACCCAATACGCACCTCTGCCACCTTTCGCGAAATTTCGGCTTCCCAGGTTGGACCCCCACTCAAACCCTCGTTACGTTCAATAGTGAGGGTCCGCAGGTGCACGTAAACCGCAGCCCGAAATTTCCCTGATCGCGCGAGAGTGCTCCACTTGATGCAAGCTCCCTCGATCTCTCGCCCGCGAGCGTCGCTCCTGGTTTTCCCTGCGCGCCAGGAACGAGCAAATATTGGTTTGTGGTCCACAAATACGGGAATAAAAGGTATTGACAGAGGCATTAGCGAAGGATGATGCATTTTTAAACCGACGGGACGGTAAATTTGACGCCGTTGCCAACTGCGATCCCAAAATGCACGTAAGGCCGTGTCCACACGAGCGTGGTTCGAGGAACGTATTCGACGAGCTGCTCAGTTCCCGGAACTTGTTCCTTGAAAGGAGGGATGCTGTTTACATGAGTTCGCCCGAACTGGAACCGTAACTTCAATGAAACTATACAATTATTGCAAAATAATAGATTATTACGGCCGCCAAAGTAACAAAAATAAATGTCAAGACATGTAAAGTACGTAAAAAACAGAAACAAACAAATTCACATCAAAAGAAACACATGTTTGAACGGAAGAGGGCGATTACAACGGCCTCACAAACGACTTTGAAAAGTTTTACAAACTTGAATTATTAGGATTTCGGGGCTTCGATGAGCTTTTGCAATTTTGAAATAATAAAGATATGTGCATTTTTGAAAGACCAATGTGGTTTAAAAAGTATATAAACACTTCTTAAATATTTCACGGATTTAGTTACTTATTTTTTTTTAAAAGAACCTATTTTTAAATTCTCAAAACCAATAGTAGAAAAAAGTTTTGTCAAAATTCTTTTGGCCTTTTAATAAGTCATGCCTTTTCTCGCTAGAAACAAGTCATGTTGATAAAATGCGCACCACATCAAACCAGAGTCAGCCTAACTACATAACCCATTGTCTGATACCCTCTCACATTTTATTTTTTCAACAGGGAAGCAATCAATGTTCAGACTTTAAATGCTGTGAGCATATTCTTCATGAACCGAGGAAAATTCACATCGAGTTTCAAAACTAGATATTGTTTGGTTCTTTGCTAGAAAAATAAACACCGAGTGGAAATTCGGCAGCGTGCACAGTCAGGCTGATTCTGGTTAAATCTGCCCAAATCATAATAGAATAATAAATTGTTGCTTCCACATAAACCATCATGCAAATTAGAGAGTTGCAACAGCAACAGCACGATGATGCAACAGCTGTATAGGACAGATCATTATGGAGGAGAAAGAGTGTGGAATGAACTGCAATCGATTTCATTCTCTCCTCACTTCCAAAGTTTGGCAGCATGGTGTGCATATGTGGAAATGCATGTGGTGCTCTGCCGTGGTAAGGAAGAACGACGTATGAACGTTCGAAAGTTGCCAAATTTGTTCCTATAAAATATTCATTTTTGAGGAAAGTTATGAATATTTTTCCTTGAAATTTTTAGGAACTTTAGGTAAAATTGCGAACGAAAGTATCTGAAAAATTGAAGAGAAAATATTCATAAGTTTACCAGGAAATTCGTGTTTTATCGAAGGGAATTTGGCAACGGCTGAAGGTTCATACGGCGTTCTTCCGTAATACGGCAGTACTCTCTTCAAATGCCGCAGAGAGCTGAACAAAGAGCGGATTCCCTGAAATAAAATTTAGATCGTTCTAGAGAAAGAGAACATGAGGAGAGCCGAGGAGAATGAGGAACAGCGGGAATGCTGGCTTTGTACTCCATTCATTTTCAGAATTTCTCCGCGCAGATGTTTTTGGTCATTTGAGATGAATTGGAAAATTTAAAAGGGGTAAATCTCGAGATTGTATGGCTGCAGCAGAAGAATCATCTAATTCACTCTACTCATCATTGATTTTTTCCTCGTTTATGAATAAAAATTTAAAGACTGATTTGAACGATAAAAAATTATTCCAACTTTCATTGCAACTTTTCTTAAAAATGATGTTTTGGTCATTTGAGATGAATTGGAAAATTTAAAAGGGGTAAATCTCGAGATTGTATGGCTGCAGCAGAAGAATCATCTAATTCACTCTACTCATCGTTGATTTTTTTCTCGTTCATGAATAAAAATTTAAAGACCAACTAAACGATAAAAAAAATTATCCAACTTTCATTGCAATGCTTCTCAAAAACTGCAGGCTATTATTAACTGTGAAATCTTTAACTAAACTGAAAATGATCGTCATGCATTAAAATTGCCCTCTATGATTTTTTTGGTGCAAAGGTAGTAAAGCATATTCTCGGTTTACTTAGGAAAGATTCTAGATTTGTAAAAATTAACATGCACTGACAGCTAAAGTCGAACATAAGGCGCAGAACCTTGTGATTGCGAATTCACTTACGAATAATAGAGCTCCCATGCTAGCTGAGTATACAATAAAATTTCATAACAGTGAAATAACGGAGCTCTTCCTAATAGTAATTCTTAGCAACAGTTTTAATTGTCTTAAGACCCTAGTGGCAATAAAAGCGAAACTCAACGATCTTCTAAATTCCTCTATGACGCAAACTGTGGAACCTGCAATGCAGTACCTTATAAATATCGAGCCTTGCTGACTGGAAATCGATATTATTTTACATACATTCACAGCGAGGTAGTGGTGAGGTGTTAATGAGCGATTATCGATATCTCTCCATTTGACGCTGTGGTAAAGAATCGATTATTAAAGGGTTCGTTGAGAACACCCTGTTGATCGATCCTCTTTCATAGGTTTGAAAGGCAGATCAATCGATACATCGCAGAGCACTCCACGCCACTGCAGTGAGGAAAACAGTGTTACTGAATGGCAAGAATCGCCACCGTCTCCGCAATGCTGATGCTGCAATGTTATGAGTGCAGACGTGAAAACCAGAATGCCTTAAATTTTTCGGATATGCAATATGCATATGCATGGGACACGAATAGTTGCATCAAGGCGTTCGGCACTGCATCATCGCCCATTGATATGTTACTATTGGAGGCTATTGTAAATAATCGATGATTAAGGTGTTCGTTGGGAACGTCCGTCCTGTTAATCAATTATTTCTCATAGGTTTAAATGGCGGATAAATCAATTGATTCATCTCAAAGCGCGACACACCATTAAAGGCGTTGCAATAAAATTCGTGCGGTTGCTTCCTCAGTTCTCTAATTTCTGGAAAAAAAACAAAAGTACAGCGAAGGAATGACGAGAGATGGACAGGAAAAAAGAAGAATGGAGTGAAAAGAATTAGTACTTCATAGTAAAATATTTTACTATACTACAAATTTTCCCTTAACTCCAGATTTTCAGATTTCATTCTTTAACGCACACTGCATGGACTATTGATCTAACGCATCAGAGGAAACCATACATGTTTAGAACAAGCATAAACTAGTGCGTCATATTCTGGCACGGAAACATCATCAAAGTAACGATAAAAAGACTCTACCTCAGCATTATAAACTATTGGTCGCGGCTCAGGTGAAAAATATCTTCAATCAAAAGATTACGTCAAGTATGCTTCTTTGATAGAACTTCCGCGGAAGTTGCCCGCTTTGTTCGTGGTAAAATATCCATTCAAAGGAAGTCAAGACCGAGTTCATCCCATCACAATACTCAAGGGGTTCTTAGTAGTCTTGGCGGCAATTAAAGTACTCATTGTTCAATAATCACCCGCTGAAACCTTAGTATTATCGTCGCGTTAGACTTTTTCTTCTGAGGTCGTTCAAATAAAGTTCTTTGTACTATCCTTGCGTTTGTCTCGTGTTTTGTGACGCGTCGCATTAATGTGAGAATCTTACAAAACAAATTAGTAGTATACCTTCATTTAAAATTGTCAGTGAAACTTATTTTTCTTTTTTAAAGACAATCATAAATGAATAATCAATTCCAAGTGATCGTATCTACATAAGTAATGAGTCAACTGTCTTAGGTAATTTATCAAACTTGGTCATTGACCGTTCATAAATCAAGTAAGGATTTATTAAACTTCAAAATTATTAAACTTAAATGGGCTTTTTAATTTGGGGACTAATTTCTCACCAATGCGCTCATTTCGGAAATTAGCTAGGTTTTCTGCGTATTTTTTTGAAAAGTTTTTTTGAAAAAAGACAACGTTCGCCTATTTATCTGAGCCCAGACATGTGGTTTATAAACTTTAGATCCCACAAAGTCATCATACTATAAAAAATTACATTTTATGCAGTTTTTGAAAGTTGAAGAAACTACTTTCCCCTCTTGATTCTTCACGTCTTATTACTTAAAGTCAGCTTTTAAGAGGGAGCGAGGATGAAACGAAATATATTTTAAAACTTGAGGTCAAAAAGTACGGCAACACAGTCTCTCGAAGACAAAATTCTAAAGTAAGACTTGCACCCTGCATCTTAATAAGGCCTCTTGAATATTATCAGCCTATCAAGTTGGCCAGGCTTATATCTTGAGATCAAAATAATATACATAATATCTTTGTCGTCAGTGGTTGCAATTTTCGGCTCAAGAGTTTTGTAGCAATTTTGGATCTCAACTGCCTCGCATAATCTGTATTAGTTTCAGAGGAAGTTTTGCTGAGCTTTAAAGTAAGAAGTTTACTCCAGTTTGAATACATTAAAAATTTGACCTTTTGGCGGTCGCGTCCATGAATGTTGCAAGTTTATACTCTTTCGGTAATTATGTTCGAACAAGTGAACGTACGCTTTACTTTCTCACACTGCCGTGCTAAGGAAGAACGCCATATGAACATTCAGGCGTTGCCAAATTTCCTTTTATAAAAAAGTATTTTCTGTCAAACAACTTAATGTTTTTCTTTTAATTTTTCAGCTAATTTTGTTCGCAATTTCAGCTAAAGTTCCTGAAGATTTCAAGTACAAACATTCATAAATCTCCTTAAAAATACACATTTTATCGGAAGAAATGTGGCAACCCTCGAATGTTAATACGGCGTTTTTCCCTAGCACGGCAGCACATACTAGATTGGAAATTCAAGGAGACGCAACATCACGATGCTTGGTTGCGTCGGGGGTGAAGTTTCAAAGCAGCCACCGAAACTTCAACTTCTTAGCGATAATTCAATTAATGGGCTCTCGTTCGAATGGCGGACCGAAGTTCGAATTCATAAACTTCTTCGTAACAGTTTCACAGACATAATGAACGTAAAGTAATGCGTGATCCAATATGAAACTCAAATTCTTAGGTGATTCGATGCAACCCCTCTTTAAAACTGATCTGCATGCGCTAAATTAAGGCTCCGGGTAGGTATCTGAATAATCTCAAATAGAGAGATTCAGATTCGTTTATATGATCAATTCTTGCAGGTTTTTAAAACGGTAATTTTCTCGCTCATGGTGTCACAAAAGTGTGCACCAAGATGGCAAAAATAATGAAACAAAATGCTGAACAAAAAAATTGAAAAATAACCTAATTGTTATTTATCAAAAGTACATTTTATTCTCATCGCACCAAAATGAAAATATTTAACATACTTTTTTAACGCGCGGATTTTAACGCACGTTGGCTAAAAAACTCCAACTTACAGGCAAAATAAAAATAGATTAACAAATAAATCACAAATCAATCTCATTTTATTTATTGCAGTTTCATTGGTGGGGTTTTGATCAGTTTTGTTGATGTTGTTTTGGATGGCAGACATCGTAAGATTCCTAATCCTTGTCCGTCAATATCGTTCGTTCAGGTGCACGCTTTTGTGACACCATGGCCAACCAGAATGGAGAATTTGCGGGCGTCTGAAATTTTGTAAATTTCATGTTTAAAATGAAACTGTTAAGAAAACTGAGCACGGGGGTATCCTTGTTTTTTAAATTGAACAAATATTGGAGGACATAATATGACAGAATAACTTAAATGGAAAATGCCGCCAGATGACGTCACAAGGCGAAAAATTTTCTCAATTCAAATCTATTTCTCTCCAATTTTCCATTTCGGAAAAAAATTATGAAAAATACTGTGAACTCAACCTATTAAGCACTCTCAGATAAAGCTATAAAATTTTTGTGTGCCAATGGACCACTAGACAAGGTACGAATTTAAGCAATCTGATACATGTTTTTTAACCAGAATTTCACGTAAAACACGATTCTTACAACGAAGATTTCTGAAACCAACTCCTAACAAAGATATCAACGTTTTTTATTTCACATTGGTTACGAGGAATTTGAACTGCCCGCTCATAAGAAACTCAAAGCTCTACGCGAGTCAAATCGTGCACTACAACGGTTTCAGCAAGCCTCTCAATCGAGCAATGTTCATTTCGCACCATGTGTTGTTCAAACTATAAGCTATTTGCTACAGCTGAGCCAAAGCTTCAAGATTGAGGTTGCCAGATTTTTACATCGCAGAGACTCATGATAACGTTTTAGCGTGCGATGTGAAACACGTAGAGCATTGAGTTTTAATGAGCGGGTGGTTTGAATTCACGCATCAAGAATCATCAAATATCTTAGTAAGGAGTTAATTTCGGTAATTTTCTATGTGCGCATCGTGTTCTACGTGAAATTTTAGTTACAAAACATGTATCAGAATGCTGAAATTCGTACCTTGTCTAGTGGTCCATTCTCCATTGAGTTGTCTTAACTCTGGGTATAAAGGGGCTCTACAGCATATAAAGCGTGTTAATTTCTGTTGTTAATTTTTGTTTCAGGTGGATTTGGACACGACCGAGTCCCTAGTCACGATGGACTGGGAGCATGGCTTCTTGGAGGCCTCGGCCAAGGACAACGTCAATGTCACCGAGGTGTTCAAAGAGCTCCTGAATCAGGCCAAAGTGAAGTACAACCTGAGCCCGGCCCTCCGGCGACGCCGCCAGAGTTTGCCTACCCAGTGCGGCACCACCTCGGCGCCTCCCACCCCCGGCCCCACCCCCCACCACCCGGGCATCCCCTCCTCGCTCCAACTCCAGCACCTCCAAAGCATCCAGGAGAAACAGATGGCCTCCGGCTCCGGGAGCAAGCGCAATTCTTGCGTCATTTCCTAAGTCTGTAAAGAGAAATTTTAAACCATGCACGATATTGTCAACAGTAGGCTACCTTAAAGTCCCAGATACACCTGCGATCTAGATGCCCATTCTGTAGGCCTTTGGCCGTATTCGGCAATCTTCGTAGCCACTCACTCTGGAAAAATAGTATATTGTTTTAGCACCTAGGATGTCAAAAATATGTCTGGTGATTCTGAGATGCTGCCTTGATTGCCGACGCAGTTGAATTTGCATTAACAGGATGTAAAATTAACTGCAGGGGCAGTAAAGGCAGCATATTAGTAAGGAGCGCCTTCAATTTCGTATGATACGGTGCAACACCTCTGTGGTGAAAAATTTGCTTGTCGCGCCGCGGCTCGATGGGTGGCCGGGCCGGCCAGCGCTTACAAACCTAAAGAGATACTTCAAGCATTGCGCAATGCGTGAAGTATCGCCTTAGGTTTGTAGGCGCTAGTCGTGCTGGCAACACGCCGCTCCTTTCTGTGTTAGGCTCTAGTATTTAAACTCGCGGAGTCAGCGTTTTTCAACTCATATTGAATATGCATTCACAGGATGTAAAATTAACTGCGGGGACAGTAAAGGTAGCATATTGGGATCACCAGACATATTTTTGACATTCCAGGTGCTAAAACAACATATTATTTTTTTCAGTGCAGGTTGCAACTCGCCGCTTGCAACTCGCTCAAAGTAGGATCGGATTCTGCATTTCGCGTCAAGACGCGCGTCTAGCAAGCAGGTGTATCTGGCGCTTTAGGCGATTTGATGGCCGTCATACTGTGTGTCAGGACGATATCGAATCGATTAGTTCCGTATTTTCCGCAACTTGTCATTTTTGTAGAATTTTTAGATCGTAATTTTGTTGTTACTTACAAAAACCGAGCGAATTAAACGTATTTAAGGCAGGGTTATTTAGAGGGAAAATATTTCGTTCGAGTGCAGATTTGATATCAGTATCGAACGGGACATTCCTCCTCTAAAAGTCCCCACCCTAAATACGTTGGAGTCGTTTGTCAAATTTGGTAAGTGACAATAGAGATACGATTCAAAATTCTATAAAAATGTGAAAACGTGGAACTAATTGGTGTGATGATGCATGTCGTCCTGACACAAAATATGACAGCCGTCGAATCACCTCAAAGCAAAGCTTCTTATTTATTTTGAAGACTGATTTGACAGTCGATTCATCAAATTATTCGGCAGATCCCTAATATTTCAGTCACTTTTTTTTAAATTCACGAATGTCACATCGCGATGTAGCTCATCAAATATTTGCACGCAAGATTTGATCAAAACAAACGTTGAAATAACTTCAGAATCATGTTCTGATTGAATATTTAACATTGAAAGACAAAATGACCTGCGACATTCACTCGTAACGTATTTCTGAAGTTATCTAAAAGTGTCTCTCTGTCAAATCTTGTTTACGGACATCTGACGGACGATAACATTGCGACATTCGGGAATTGAGAAGGAAAATCCCCAAATCCATCAGTTGATCGATTGACTATGGAATCATTCTCTGAAATGCCATCCAGCATTTTAACATAAATCTTTTATTCGGGCGTCGTGGACCTCAACAAAATCCGCAAATGTGTCTATCGATGGCAATCAGAGTGACCTTGATTTCTCTCCAAGAAAAATCTACCTCACTTCCTCTCCCCTGACCCCAATTTAAGTAAAGCTATACAATGTTCAGAAGCAAATGTTATGCATCACGATGCGTCCTGTTGAATCACTTTACCCGCACATAGGTAAAATTGCACAATGAAAGCGTAAGTGCATTAAAAGTTGAGAAAAAGCTAATTATACTACTTTGGAAATAAACTAAGATGACAACACTCGGAGGTCGAATGAAAGAGAGATTGGCAGAGAGATAGGTTACCTTTGAACCAAAAGTCACTTATTTGTAGAAATTGGACGCTGAATGGGTCCGAAAATTCAAAAATATTAGAAAAAGGCTCTTCTCGTGCATGGGATAGATTAAGTCTGTCATAAATAGTAGTACCCGTTTTTGTGTAAAATATCAATATTTTGCAACGTTTTATATTAGAATAGCGAGAATATTTGGACGTATTTATGCAGGAAGGTTTACATGCTATGAAATCCGCACATAGATAGACATATTTTGCATAAGTTCACCCATTTAACAAATTGGTCACATCACTCACAAACGTTGCGGTGGAATTGTGTATGTTTTTAGATTTCTGGACAGTTCTGTCCGAATCATCAACGTCATCAAAAGTTATAATTCTTTTTTCACATATACAGATTCTTGATATATCTAATATAGAAGTGTCTGCCGGAATATGGAAAGTTGAATTATGAAAGTTAGCTGTTCTTTCAAACCACCGGGCTTGAAAAGTATCGGTACAATAATGAGTTGACACATAATCTTATAAAAATTTCAAAGGAGTCATCTATTTTGCATTCACGAATGTTTACTATACACAAATAATGATGGGCATTTGCATCAAGGGAACATATCTGGCATTTTGTTTCCCTCGAAAAAAGTTGTTTTTATCTCGCCTGTTGGCATCAATGCTTTGAACAGAAGATAAAGAACTATTCAAATCAAGGCTTCAGTTTTTGCCTTCTTCCTTCCATCCAACTCTAATTTGAATTCTTTCCTGATTCTTTGGAAATTGAGTGATCGTGAGATTCAAATTTCCTATGAAACGCCTAACTTTAATTTGATGCATCGCTTTATATAGAAGGGCATTTTCATACAGTATAATGACATCCGAATAATACATATCCACAGAATAGGAATTCGTGAAACGATCAAGTTTTATACTCCCTAAAAATGAAAACCAATACATTTTTTACGAACATCTTGACGAATATAGGAAAGAATCAAACAATTCTCTCTAGAGTTCAAAGCTACCCTCAGAAAAAGGAAAATATTTGATATGCCGCATGTTCGCAAGAGGAAGGTCAATTATTACCAGGAGTTACTCACCAATTTAGGAGGGTGTGTTCGGAGGATTTTGTGAAATCTCTTATTTAAAAATACATATAGTAGTGATTATAAAGTCCTCTTCTCAAAATCTCAATGTAAATAGATAATGTTTTCTGTAAAACCTCCATCCAGATGAAAATAAAAGGAACAAATTAAACCCAAACGTAATTCAACAGGCCAACCACTTGGGTTATCCATATGTATTATATATAGTTTTAACGTCTCAACGATACGATGCTTGTTCAACAAGAATGTGTTAGATTACAGGCTAAAAAAATGTTACAAATAAAGTAACCTAGCTTTAAAGTTTCTGGCCACTAGGACGACATGTTTGGACCATTTGATTTACGGGTGGTTTAGTTGATTATATCTATTTATTTTTTTATTTCCTCAGTTGTTTTTTTAGGAAAGGACATGACACATTTTCGTTTGTTTTATTTTTGCAAAACCTTGGATTTCATAAAGTTTCAATTGAGGCGAGTAATTTTGAAAATTTCGACAAAATAATATTTAAAAGTGGAAATGAATACTAGAAATTTTTGAAACTTACAAGCTGAATTGGAACTATTTATCTTACAAATTCCTTAACATTGCAGAGCACCTAATCGATAATTTCCTGCACTCATATACCATCATTCATTTAAATATCACTTTTTTATACTTCGGAATTTGATAAATCGAAATTCTTACAAGTCCCACTGACTAATACTGTCCCAAGAAAATAAACATTGTAAAATATCGTCTGTTTCAAATATATATACTTGTATTTCAAAATTGTACATACCTTTAATAAAAGGGAACGGTTAAAGAAGATTATTAATTTTTAAAAGTTGGAGCAATAATCGTTATTCTAAAGTAAGATTTGTGAGAGTAACACCTAAGCTAATTTCAATGCGCTCAAATGACTTTCAGCAAATTCTGAAAATATGTGGAGTGAATCACAATCATTTATCAAAACTGCAAAGTCCTTGAATCGACCGGGTGTATGTGAGAGGCTCCTTAATGATACTTAGTTACTGACTTTGAAGCTGCTAAATGTCGGAAATAATTAATTAAAATATCTTCGAAAAATACATGTACAATTATTTCAGGGATTTATAAGCTCAATTGAAAATGAACTCAAGATGAATTATTTGTTAGGCATCATCTTGCAGACCTGCCTTATTACTTCATTAGAGGCAATCTAAAAACGAGAAAGTAAAAACTTGCGGGCCAAGTGATGAATTTTTAAATCCAAGGTTGCCAAATTGAAAAATTGAAAATAAGTTTCACATTGTCACGAGACTGTAGATCAGTTGATGACACGGGTTGTGGAAATCCAGTAATCTCCACTGACGATGCGAATTCAGGAGATGTGTTGACAGCTTGAGAAAGGTATTAAGTTTCCCTCATAACTTTATCTAAATTGGAGTAAAAAATTTAGCCAACCAATGATTTGGCTCGAGTATATTCAGACCTTATCACGCCTATCTTTAATAATAAGATCGTAAAAATCTATCCACGAAAATAAATTGGGCTCAGAACCTAAAAATGGCCAGGTGCGCTTTATAACTGAGGGGCTTGGAGGACAAGGAGCTTACGATCACTTTTTGCTGTATCAAGAGACACCCACGTGTTTTTTTTCGAACTGCATGGAGCTTTTAAGAGTGAGAGGAAGTTAAAAATCACTTTTTGATTCTATAACTTGGAATTCAGTGGTGAATTTTTCTGTGAATATATTTCAAGGCTAGTTTTAGTTGAAATCATTAATATCTCAACATTTTTCAAAAGCTGCACCTGTGCGCCTTGTCCTCCAAAGTCAACAATTTAAATGATGAGGATTTTGAATATTGTCACAGCTTATCGTGACAGATGTGGGAATACATCTGAAAATGTTTTAAAAATTAGATCAAATGAGCCTTTATTAGGATACAGAGAGACATTTGCATGACACACTCGCACAATGCTTAGGACTTTGCATTGTACTAAATCACTGAGCACTCTGTATCATGCCATCTATGAATATCAAGTGTTGCTTGATGAGCATTGTTTAAATATGCATTTATTCGT